AATGTTGCCCCATCGCCATTTATAAATTATAAAAATAAAGTGGAATTTTTTTTTAATTTGTGAAGTTAATATGAGCAGCTCATACAATGATAAAGGATATGGAAAGATATCAATTGCTATTAACAAGTCAATTTTGGTCCAAGATGGATTTTGTCTTTTGAAATTATCGAAATATTGATGGACTGTATTACAAAAATGTAAAAATAGAATTCTCGTAATTCACCGATCAAAAAGGAAATGATAACTTTTATCATTTAATTTAACAAACTTTTGATTTGAAGCATATTTGGCACAAAATTTGATAACTTATAAAAACTGTCATATTACTTTCATTCTATAACAAAAATCAAATAGCTATTTTCAATTATTTTGAATTAGATATATATATATATCTCAAATGTGTTTTCGAAATTGTTATTAAATGACAAACTTTGATTTGCTTATTTTATATAATAATCTATAATTTCCTCTTAGAAAATTTCCTTTATATAAAAACCAATTGTTTGATATCGAGAACCGAGGAATTGCGATAGAAAATAGCGTGAAATCAATTTTTATTAATTAAGTAAGATCAAGTCTCAACGAGTGGAAAAATCTGCGATTAAAAAAAAAAAGTTTTTGAGTAGTCTGTACTCGCGTAAAAGCAGTGTAAATGATAAACAATCGTATCGCGAGAAGAGCCACACGCACCGACCGCATGGCTCCCCTGCGAACAGATCTGCTAATAAAGCGGATCGTCATTCCTGTGGTCAAAGTGCAATATCTCGTATGAATAACTCCTTATACAGTTCGCCTCATTGACCATAATGTACCGAGTGTCTTTAAACAAACGCATTTATACGCATGCAATAAAAGAAAGCGCGTTTCGCAAAAATGCAATGATATTAATGAGTGTTATAATCGTAAAACGAGGAACAAAAGTGTAAAACAAAGCGCGCATTGTAAAGTGTATTGCCGCATTATGCAACACTTACTACCCTTCGTCGTTTCCGTAGAACGCGGCTATTTCGAGCGAGAATCTTGAAGTAAAACGAGGTAAATGAGATACGATATGGTATGTAAAAGAGGCACGTAGGATTGTCGTTAAGTTGATTCGTCACGTGACCAAGTCTTGCTTTTTTTTTTTCTATTCAAACTATGTTCTCTGCATAATTCGCCGTTACGCAAGCGGAATCCTAATAATAATCCTTGTATTTAGACATTAGATTAGACATACACTGAAAAAAAAAAATTGTTAATTTGACTAAATCTCAATTAATTATTACCATTTTTTTAATTGAAATATTTATATATTTAAGTCAAATAAGACATATTAAATCTAACATGACGTATATTTGACTTAAATATATAAATATTTCAATTAAAAAAATGGTAATTAGTTGAACGGTTTTAGTCGTTAACAATTTTTTTTTTTTTCGGTGTACATATTTAATCAGATAATGGTTAAGTGGATTTTTTAGTCTTAAAAACGAACGCTCTATTATTTCTCCGCTTCCGAAAATGTCGTAAAAGCTTGTGTACAGATAACAAAAATATATATAGAACATTTTTGCTTTACTTATCTGTATCTGATAATACTTCAAATAACATTAATAATTCCTCTTTCTCTAAAATTATCTCTACAGTTGTTAATCTAATGTTATTTGTATATTAAATGAAAGATATAAAAGATTTTTTCATTATTTTCTTCATTATCAATTTAAAATTAAGATTTAAAATTTCTTCGTTATTAATGTTTCGATTCTTAGAATATTTAGTTTTCGAGCTATCAAACTCTTTATTCTATCCGTAATTTATATCATCATCTTCAAATGCTATATATATGTTATGTAAGTTTAGTAATTTTATATTCAACTATATAGCATAAGACTGATGGAGTTTAAAAAATTCAGTGTCTTATTTTTAGCAAGTTTTTTTTAAATATTCTTATCAACAGAAGTTGATGATTCATCATTTTGTTAATGACTTGTAGAATAAAAAAAAAATTTATAATTGTTAATACTTTATTGTGTTATAAACAAAAAGAATTGATGATTGTCGAATACTAACTACAAAAAAAATGACGAACGAACAAAGATTGGTAAATCGAGAATAAAGAGTAATTATATCCGCGGATATCTATGTCCTCGAGGGTTATCGACATCATGGGAGTTCGAGCTGTGCGTCAGAGAATCGCAATGAAAAACGTCCGTGCTTCGATAAATTCATTAAAGATAAACGCATGAACGACGCGCAAAATACTTGTCCCCCCATTGGACGTTAGTTAATCATGCATCTGTCGCTGCTTCGGTGATTGGATTTTGCTCAAGGGAAACATAACACGATAGCATAACACGCGATACTACCGTACGGATATATTTGCTGCTCTTTCTATCTTTTTTCTCTATTTTATCATCAAAGTCAGCACATTACGCTTCATACAAGAGAGTATAAATTAGAAAAGTTATTATTTCCTGTAATAAGATAGCTATAGATAGAGCGCGCTTATAATATATGATGAGAGAGAAATTAAGTAAAAAAAAAAATCTAATTTAGTCCTTACTTTATCGCAAAATATTCTAGATTCAGCAAAAAATATTTCAGGAATATATTCATTGTGTGTGATAAATTTCAGAGATTGAATTTTCTTTAAAAAAATTTTCCGAATAGCCTCATTTTTTATTTGTGAATCAAGCTTTCGGGATATGAATAGCAAAATTTTAATTTTGAGTTTTTAATTTTGAAATAAGTTTAACAGAGATTTTAATCAGGAAACTTTACCATGGAATTTCTTTTAATCGAGATAATAATAATGTCGATAAGCAAATTAAAACTTTCTAAAAGTTAAATTATTCATGCACGATACATTTGCCATTCAAAATAAAAAACTAAATTTCTCGGAAAATCTACGCATGTGATAGAAAGAAAATATGAAATGTATTACAATTTAATGGAAAAAGCTATTCATAAGGCAGCTATTTGTTTCTAAAATCATAAATTGTTATAATTATCCATCTTATCTTGCGGTTATTGGGTCGTGATTGTTTGAAAAAATAGTTTATCTCCCGCTGAACGATACAAAAATAGTAGTTGATCAATGGAAAATAGCTACAAAGGATATAGAGTAGTGATACTTATAATATGCGCCGTGGTATAATTTTAAGCTGTTATGCGTAAGTAACGTGTGACGTTTCGCAAGCAAAACCGCGAACTAGTTTAAAGTAAATGGCACGTATAATATTAATATGTAATATCGTCTTAATGATCTCGATGTAATAACAAGTCGTGCTAAACAAACGGTTGGCGCATATCAGTCAATGGATTAATACATTATTGTCATGCTCAATAATATTTCTCTTTATGATTATATTATATTGTGAGAGATATTATTACTAATTGTGAATTGATACACGATACAATTTATTTATTTTGTAGGATTATTTAAAAAAGTATGTAAAATATGTAGAGAAAAATAAATTAAACTACATTTCATTATCACAGTTTCCATTATGACACAAAATATATGAATAATTAAAATTGTCAAGAGAGAGAAAGAGGCATAGAATAGAAATGATTAAAATCAGTTTCCGCTTATATATTAAATCTATATTTGCATCGGCAAAAAATGTGGGTCAACGTATAAAGACCGTAGAATTTTCAAATAAATAATAAATCGAAGAATTTCAATTGGTTTAAATAATATTTTAGTAAAAATGTATAACTATAGTTAGTAAGTTATTGTAAGAGTTTACAAGAGTGCTTAACAAAGAAAACGTCAAGTAAAATAATTTTGCATCAATTCATTATTAGCTTTAAAATTTTCCAACATTTTAAAGCATAAAACATGAAAAATAAGACAGAATGGATCATAATTATTTAATCTATATGCATATATTTATTTCTAATTTTTTATTT